ACGGGTGATGCAGGTTCTGGCAGTGCCGTCCCTGGCCAGGTTGGGGACGCCAGCCCTGGGCTAGGCAGGGTGCTGTGACCTCGCCAGGCATGGCTCCCTGCTCCAGCATCTCGGGGGGGTTCAGGTTGTCTCCGGGTTTCTCTGTGGCTCTTCCTTTGGTCCTTGTCCTTCACACCCCGCTCCCCTCCCCAACAGGCAAGGAGAAGACAGTGGCCGTGGTTGTGATGGGCTTTCTCTCTAAGGGATGCAGGAGCAGAGCCCTTGCTGCCCAGGCACCGGAGCTGCTGGCTTAGCCCTTGGGAGGGATGGCAAGCCGAACGGGGCTGAACACCACAGACAGCCTAGAGCCACTCTCCGTCTCCGAGCAGTCCATTGCCCAGGAGGTGGTGGGCCTCCTCTGCATGGTCCTCCTCACCCTCACCGCCTTGGTGGCCAACACTGTGGTGATGGTCGTCATTCTCAAAACCCCCCTTCTCAGGAAGTTCATCTTCGTCTGCCACCTCTGCGTGGTCGACCTCCTCTCTGCCATTTTCCTCATGCCCCTGGGGATCATCTCCAGCTCCTCCTGCTTCAACAGGGTGATCTACAGCATTGCCGAGTGCCAGGCCTTGATATTCCTGAATGTCTGCTTCATCAGTGCCTCCATCCTTACCATCTCTATCATCAGCGTGGAGCGGTACTACTACATCGTCCACCCCATGAGGTATGAGGTCAAGATGACCATCAGGCTGGCAGTGGCCGGAGTGATTTTCATTTGGGTCAAGTCTGTTCTCATCACTGTCTTGGCACTAGTGGGCTGGCCTCAAGGCAATGGGGCCACCAGCGCCAGCCGCTGCACAGTCTACTGGAGCCCTGGGGCCCACAAGAAGGTTTTTGTGATCATCTTCAGCATCGTCTGCTTCGTCCTGCCCACCATCATCATCTTCGCTGTCTACTGCAGTGTCTACCGTGTGGCCCGGATGGCATCCCTGCAGCACGTGCCCGTGCCAGCACACGTAGCTGTGCCGAGACACCGATCCGACTCCATTGCCAGCCAAGTGACCATCATCACCACCAGGAACCTGCCGCTGCCCAGGCTGACGCCGGAGCGCTTTTTGGGAAGCTACAAGGCCATCCTCACCTTGGTCCTCATTGTGGGACAGTTCTTGTGCTGCTGGCTGCCCTTCTTCGCTTTCCACTTGCACTCCTCTGACACCGCTGGCACGGTGGGCGGTGGGCACGGGGAGATGGTGGTCACCTGGATTGCCTACTCTTCCTTCGCCA